CTGGAGTCCCTGGATCGAGTCCCGCATCGGGCTCCCTGCTCGGCAGGGAGTCTGCTTCTCCCTCTGACCCTCCCCCCTCTCATGTGCTTGCTCTCTCTCATTCTCTCTCTCTCAAATAAATAAATTAATTAATTAAGAAAAAAAAGAATCTTAAAAAAAAAAAGAAAAAGGTGCAGATAGCTGTCATTTAAGAGTATAATTAAGAAACTCTGTCCTTGAGGGTTTAAATAGGATTAACTTTTCCTCCTTGCCTTTTTGATTATCCTGTTCCTCTCTTTCCTCTGTGACAAGCTGGTCGGTTGAAGAGAGGAACTCACTGTGAATGGTATTGACAAATGCACCATAAGATGTTCCTAGAGGGCTTACCCTCTGATCCTAATATTAGGAAGCAGGTGTCAACCTTTATACATTTGTCCTGTCTTTTCAATGACAAATAATCATTAAATGGGTGGCTAAGAGATCTAAAAACTCTCTATATTATAGTCTAATCCAAGTGACCAAGGAAAAGTTCATAAAACCTCATTTATAAAATGCCTAAAGCTCTGTGTATTGTACGCTGAGCTATTACATTATAATGAAATGGCAGAAGTTCATTTAGCAGTTGGATTAATTTGGTAAAAACTGAAGTTGATCATTTCTGTTTTGATCATTTGGAAGAAGGAATGAATAAACCACAAATTGGATTAGGAAAAAGGTATTTTTCATAAAACAAGAATGTGACAGTATTGATCCAGTCTTGTTCGAGAGAGAGGAAAAGAGCTTTCTGGTTAACAAACATTGGGCTTTTCTGTGACCCAGGAAAATGTCTTCACTTTGCACATACTCCTTGAAGCTTTCTGATACCTGATTTGGCATTCCTCCATACTGGGGGAAGGGGTATGATGTCTTACCCAGTCCTGGAAGGCCCCTCCGTCTAGTTATCAGGGCTTGGCCACTGCTACAGAAGATACCAGTTTGTAGAATCTTGGATTATGCCTCAACCTATTGGTTATTTGGTTAGTGTGAGTCAGTCCTGGATGCCTGCATCACTACTGACACTAAAAAAAATCAAGTTTCTGACTCTGGTCCATGAAGAAACCAACTTTGTACTATTGTTAAGTTAATGTGCTGCTCCCTCCAGGTTCCCTAACCCCCTGGAGTTCTTCATAGGCTGTGTGTGAGTGGATTCAGGGCCTGTGTGAATAATCTGACAATCTATGTTGGCTTTGTGTATCTGAGTCATTTTTTTTCCTTTGGAGAAAGCATGGTCCATGCTGTCTTCAGATTCTGAAAAGGGCTCATGATCTGAAAGGTGAAAGAACCACTGCTGTGTAATACCTGTGTCTGAACTGCAGCTTCTGTAATTACTGCTGCTTTTTTCATTGATTTATTCTGCAGTACTTAGTATGTACCATCACTGTGCAGAGTGGGTGGGGACTAGGCTCAGCCCTTCAAGCAGGGATTCTGCTTGTACAGAGCTTCGTTTCCTAGGGAGAGGTAAAACCACACCTGACTGCATACAGTGTGAAGAAGCCTGAGTCTGAAGTACAAATACAAGTTGATGAGAATGCTGAAGGAATCCAGGAGAGCTTCATGGTGGAGGTGGAAAGGTTGGAAAGGGGGGGCATTTGAGATGGTCTTTGAAGGCTGAACAGAGTTGATGGGAACTCCAAGAAGAGGGAGGAATGACATCAGTTTCCCTCCCCTTTCATGTTTTATTTCAAAAACCCTCTCCTCCCCCAAGACTAAGTGATTTATTGATTTTTGTAGGACAGGTTGCTTGGAAGCGAGCTGTCAAAGGTGTTCGGGAAATGTGTGATGTGTGTGACACCACCATCTTCAACCTGCACTGGGTGTGTCCTAGGTGTGGGTTTGGAGTGTGTGTGGATTGCTACCGGATGAAGAGGAAGAATTGCCAACAAGGTGAGAAATGACTTGATTCTCCTCCAGGCCCCTCTTACACTCTTAAATTAAGCTTTTTATTGATTTGTGGTAAATGGATTTCTGAAATATTTGGGGCCAGAGTCCATGAGGAGCAGTTACTATAAATCATTTATTTGCAGGTGCTTCCTACAAGACTTTCTCTTGGCTAAGATGTGTGAAGAGTCAGATACATGAACCAGAGAACCTAATGCCTACGCAAATCATTCCTGGGAAAGGTATTTCGTGTGGTGCATTGATTTTCTTTCCCCCTTGTTTTGGTTAGCTTATAGGGTCTGGTCGTTTGGTTTTATTTTATATAGTATAATTACTTGATAACTTATTTTAGTATGTACCATAAATTGTTCAAAGATATATTAAATCATGCCCCAAAAACTTTTTGATTAAGGTCTTGTGAATAGTTTTGTAGAAGGAAGGAAAATGATGCATTTGCGGGGGAAGGCATACTTAGGAAGAAAAGGAGAGAATCTAAGCACCATATTGCTTAAAAAAAAAAAAAAAGGAAAGTAATTCTGTTGGAAATACCAGTTTCTGCTTTGTAATGTTGAGGTTGAAAGTACCTAATACCCTTGTTGAGATGTTTGTCTCTGCCCTTTTTTTAGCCCTCTATGATGTTGGAGACATTGTTCATTCTGTGAGAGCAAAATGGGGAATAAAAGCAAATTGTCCCTGTTCAAACAGGCAATTCAAACTCTTTTCAAAGCCAGCCTCAAAGGAAGACATAAAACAGGTATACTATTTATGCTAGATTCACCATCCTTGAGATTGTTGTCTGTCTTTTCAAACAACCCAAGGATTTCTGTAGTATATTTGAAAGGAACATGGGGACAGTGTTCAGTGGAAATAGACAACTTCTACATTTTATGTGACACTTCATGGACCCATTCTCACTTTTCACATTTTTGTGGACCTCATCTGTAGCCTCTTTTAGTAGGCTTTAATTTTTGTTCCTTGAAAAAGCAAAAAGTCTTCTATTTTGGTTTACTTAATGAGTTGCTGTTGAATTTTATGTGGGTTTTTAAAAAACTTCTCATGTTTTACAGAGTTAAGATAATCTTTTCAAATTATTGAGTATATATTATCTATATAAGATATATATTTGGGGGCGCCTGGGTGGCTCAGTCATTAAGCGTCTGCCTTTGGCTCAGGTCATGATCCCGGGATCCTGGGATCGAGCCCCGCATTGGGCTCCCTGCTCGGCAGGAATCCCACTTCTCCCTCTCCCACTCCCCTGCTTGTGTTCCTGCTCTCTCTGTCTCTCTGTCAAATAAATAAATAAAATCTTTTAAAAATATATTTATATTTGGGCGCCTGGGTGGCTCAGTTGGTTAAGCGACTGCCTTCGGCTCAGGTCATGATCCTGGAGTCCC